AGAAAAAGAATTCAAAAATTAGAACTATAATTAGCATAACCAAAAAAACTATGTCTATGAGACTGTGCAGAGTGGTAAGAACACCTGGCATTTTCCATTGCTCTACACATTACCGCAAACACTTGGAGGTGGGGGGAGGCATGTGCAAACAAAACAACCATACACATAAAATTTATAAAAATAAAAAGATATTAAAATTTATAAAAATAAAGACATGAATATGAGAAAATTAATACTCGAATTAGTCATTATTCAGAGAGAAGAATGTAAACAGTTATTACACTTACCTAACTCGATTCTGGCTTGAGTATCTGAACAGAATACCTAAGGGGCCGGAGAGATCACTCAGTGATTAAAAGCACTTGTTGCTCTTGCAAAACTTGGGTTCCATTCCCAGCACTCATATGGTGGCTCACAAGCATCTGTAACTCAGTTTCAGGGGATCAGACAACTTCTTCTGGCCTCTGTGAGTAATAGGCTACACAGACATACATGCAAGCAAAGCACATGTGTAAAATAAAAATGTTTTTTAAAATGTCTTTAAGTAACATGACTAACCAAATGTAATCCCTTTGGCGATTTTACAAATACATCTACCCAGCACCTGAGATGTAGAGGCAAGAGGACTGTTAGTTCAAGGCCAACTCAGCTACATAGGAAGTTTGAGTCTAGCCTGTGCCACAGGAGACTTTTGCCTCAAAATAAACAAATAAAAATAAAGCATTCTAGGCTACAAAGACAGCTCAGAGAGCAAGAATGCTTGCTCCGTAAGAGTGAAGACCTGGGGACCTGAGTTCAAATTCCCAGCACCCACCTAAAGAGTTAGGCATGACTGTGCATGCCATTCACTCCAATATTTAGGAGCAGAAATAGCTATCCCAAGAGCTCTCTGGCCACCCAGCCTGGCTCAAATGGAAAGCTTCCAGGTCAACCAGAGTCTCAAGGAAATACAGCAAAAAGCAATAGACAACACTCTGTGTCTTGTTCTGGCCTCTGCAATGCACACAGAGTATCCTGCACATTCATGAGAACACACACACACAATCATAAAAGATAAAAGCATCCAGAGCATCTGGATGTGTCTTTCTTTATACATGATAAAGTCGTCCTAATCCCAAACCTGGAGGCTTTCCTCCTACCGAATTCAGATGAGCCTATAGCTTAGTGGTAGACATTTGCCTAGCAAATGCAAAGCCCGGGTTTGATATTTGTTACTTATCATTGAAGAAAAAGAATTCTCTGAAAACATTCATGATGGTCTAATGAGAAAGGCCTCCAAACGATCTAATATTTGAATGCTTGGTCTGTGGTTGGTACAACTTTTTGGGAAGGATTAGGACAGTGGCTCTCAACCTTCCTAACGCTGTGACCCTTTAATACAGTTCCTCATGTTGTGGTGACCCCCAACCATAAAATTATTTTCACTACTGCTTCATAATCAAGTTTGCTACTATTCTGAATCATAAATATCTGATATGCAGGATACCTGATATGCAACCCCTGTGAAAGGGTCGTGACCCACAAGTTGAAACCACTGGATTAGGAGGTGTGGCTTTGTTTGACCAGGTGTGTCACCTGGAGATGAGTTTTGAGATTTCAAAAGCCCACATCATTCCCAGTTAGCTCTCTCTTTCTGCCTAATACTTGTGGATCAGATCCAGGTCCTCAGCTACCACAGTAGCACCATGTCTGTCTGCCTGCTGCCATGCTCCCCATCATGACGGTCATAGGCTCTAAGCTTCTGGAACCATGAGCCCAACTAAATGCTTTCTTTTATAAGCATGCCTTGGTCATGGTATTTTTGTCATGGCAATAGAAAAGTAACCAAGACAACATTTTCAAGTAAAATAAAACTGCGCAATAAAAGAGAAATAAATTGAGGCACTATTCTATTCTGAGCTACAAGGGGATCCCAAGGTGAAGAGCAACCTGGTTCTACATGGGAAGGTCTCCACAAAGCAAAGACAACTCCCCACTAAAGTTACCTGAGATTTTCTTTACTCTTACAGCATTAGAAAACAAAGGAAGCTTGCAGTCTTACACATCACACTCATTACTATACAGTTATCATGGTGGAAAAGCACATTTTAAAAACTTCATGTAGCTGGGTGATGATGGTGTATATCTTTAATCCCAGCATGCACGAGGCAGAAGCAAGCAGACTTTTGAGTTCAAGGCCAGCCTGGTCTACAGTGAGTTCCAGAACAGCCAGGGCTATACAGAGAAACCCTGTCTCAAAAAACCAAAACAAACAAAAACCTTCATGTATTTCCTCTGTGGGGTGGTACGGTGATTGAAGCTACCCAGGGGCTCTCCAACATTAGGCAGTGTTACAGCACTGAACTAAAGGAAATTATTGATGCCCATTTTGTTACAGGTGAGACATTTTTCCTAACATTTCTGTGTTTAAGTTCCTGAATTGATAATTTTGAAACCACATCCAATGTTCTTATGTCTTCTCAAAGCTGTTTTTGGTCAAGTCTGGTGGCACACACCTATAATTACAGCACGTGAGGAGGCTGAGGCAGAATGACAAGTTCAAGGAAATCCTGGGACACACGTAGTGAGATCCTGTCTCAAAACAAACAACAAAAATTGTTTTCATATATGAAGCTCATCAGTTCAATAAAGTAAAAATACACTTTGAAATTTAAGATATTTCACGTCTATTTCCTCTCAACCAGTAGTTCTAACACTGTGTAAAAGTTACAGCCTCTCAATGGCAAGAGTTCACACTGTTCAGTTTCATTTCTACAAAGTCTACTTAAACGGACTGGAGAGCTGGCTCGGCTATTAACAACCCTTCCTGTTCCTCCAGAGGACCTGAGTTCAGGTCCCAGCTCCCAAACCAGGCAGCTCCAAAGGATCACACACACTTTTCTGTCCTCAGAGAGCATCCAAATATACATAGCAGCATATCCATGCATTCTCTCTCTCTCTCTCTCTCTCTCTCTCTCTCTCTCTCTCTCTCTCTCTCTCTCTCTCTCTC